AAGTTGACACTGACTAATACAAGGATCGCTGAATTATTAAAGTATGGAATCCAATTGATTATTTGGCTGCTTTTAAAGTTTCAGTTAGAACACATTTTAATCTTGTTTGGCACTGAATGGGATGAACATGTATAATCATGCGATTTACATATTCTAAAATATCCTTTGACATGGCTGTCCGGTCCTGATTTGCTGCAGGAGTTGAGCTACGGCTACTTTAATACTCTTCGCTTGACCGTGGCTCAAAAAATGGAGGAGTTGGCCAGCACCCTTTCTCTGAACATTAATAACCTTTGTCGGTGAGCTGGAGTTCATACACGTGAATAAATCCCGACGTACAACCGCTGCTTCTCAGAATTGAGAAGTCAGAACGACGATCGTTTGGGGACGCGTTTGGAATGTTCTCAGAATGCAAGCGAAGCAGCTACTATTGACACCGGTGGGAGAAGGCCCCTGACGAAAAGCCATAATGACGTGGGTTTATGCAGAAGCACAGGTGGTCTGCTGATGCGTGCACGCCCCCCCTCCCCCCGGATCAGGAACGTTGGACACCATCTCTGACGCAAGTGCCTCCTCAGCGTGACAGACAAAGCGGCGGCCGTCGAAACTGGCTGACCAACGCTAACCCTCGTTTGTCATTCCTTTCCATTTCATATGATAGTTAAGAGTGGTTTTACTAACTATCATATCGGACGGCAAAGGGGCGTCGCGGACATTTACTCCATCATTGGAAGTTCAGCCCTTTGCGGGACTGTGGCCATTAACGTCAGACCGAGTGGTGCATTATTTCCGGCAGCATTTCCGAATGTGGCATAAATGATGTCTAGAATGCTGCTAAGAGAGTTATCCACTGGTTTAGAAATCTGGACATTCAAATGCAAAGTTTCTAGTCATCTTCTCAACCATAGAACACAGCAACGTGTCGAAAAATCGTTTCCGTTTCGAACTCGCTAAGGAATATAGTTAGAACACCCCGGGTTTATTGTGTCTCACATTTTAAATGCACGCTGCATGGATTCAGTGAGTCCAGTCACGTTCAGACGATCAACTTTGGAGCATTTGTTGCGCTTTTGACATTAGCCAACTTTTCAGCCAAAACATTAGAAATCCACGGGTCAGAAAACTGCATGTTATTAAATTTGCATCAGGACTGAGGAAAAGAGGTCAGATGGTGGTGGTTGGACACAACTCGTACAACTT